AGAGAGAGAGAGAGAGAGAGAGAGAGAGAGAGAGAGAGAGGAGTGATCGAATTGGGCGGTGGCTGATGAGCGTTGAGTGGTGGAGGAAAGCGGGGAGAAGCGGAGCGGCTTTATAGTGCGGTGAATGTGATAGTAAGGTGGAATTTAAGAGAGCGGTTGGAAAGGGGAAGAACTCATTCGTGACTCGTTCAAAGCTGAAAGCGAGAGGGATGTGACGACTACGTAGACATTGACGGCCCGGAGAAATCCCTTGGGATGAGGTCGGCATGACTTCATGTGTGCGTTCCACGTCCACGAATCAGGATCCTAGCACAAGATAAATCGGGACGAAATCTGGTACGTGCAGCGAGATGCAATGGGAACTTATTATAAACCTGTTCAAGTAAAAATAAAGTCATAAAGAGATTAATTTGAAATATTCATTGCAAGAGGAAAATTTATTATATCAAGAAGAAAAAATAGATTAAATATCTAGACAAGTGAAATTGATTATTGATTTTTAAAAATATTTTATAAAAATAATTTATTTTGAATATAATTAATGTAATATATCTTTGGAAACTATATAAACCTCATATGTTATGTTAGGTCATGAAACAAAGAGTTTTTGTAAAGAGTTTCTTGAGATAAATATAGAAGATAGAAGCTTATCCTACTCTTTCTATGTTCGATGACTCTATCCTTTTTCCTATCAAGTTCAATATTTAGTATCAAGTTATGGCCTCTTCCCCAAGTACCATCCAAATTCAGATCCTTATATTGACAAAAAAAAATTATGATATATGGTGCATTCAAATGAAGATTCTTCTAGGCTCTCAAGATGTATGTGAGTTTGTAGAAGATGAATATGTTGAATCAAGTCCAGCAGAAGAATGAGCAATGAATGCAGAAGCAACAAAACAACTCAAAGATAGAAGGAAGAAGGAGAAAAAAAGCTTTGTTCACGATCTACAAAGGTAAAGAGCTTGATGATATAATGTTCAAAATCATCGCTTCAGCAAATACTTCAAAGGAGGCTTGGGAAATGCTTCAAAAAGCATTCGGTGTTGTTGATAAGGTAAAGAAACTTTGTCTATAAGTTTTACGAGTTGAGTTTAAAAAATTACAATAAGGTACTTCTAAAACTATTTCTTATTACTTCTCAAAAATCATTTCTATTATTCATCAAATGAGGTGAAATGGTGAACAAATAAGTGATCAAAAAGTAATGGAAAAAATACTAAGATCTTTAGATCCAAATTTTGATTTTATTGCTGTTGCGATTGAAGAATCTAAAGATTTAGAAAAAATATCTTTAGAAGAATTTATAGGTTCCCTTCAAGTTCATAAACAAAGGATTACAAAAGAGGAGAAGACAAAACTATGGAGCAAGCACTATAAACTAAGCTTACTCTTGAAAATAAAGGTGAATCAAATTCTTAAAGAGGAAGAAGATGTGGACAAAGAGGAAGAGGAGGCAGAAATCAGACTAATCAAAAATCTCCAAACAATGAAGATGGTAGAGAAAATTTTAGCCAAAGAGGCTGAGGTTATGGTCGAGGACGTGGCTGAGGCCGAAGACATGGCAGAAACTCTAAAAGGTCTAAAATACAATGCTATATTTGTAAAATCTATGAACATTACTCCTATGAATGTTATTATCATCCTAACAATCAAGGTGATAAGACATTTTATTGAGAAAGAAAAAAATAAAAAATCAAATTTTGCTAATGAGTTATAATAATTTGAAAGATGATCATTAGGAACGAGTCAGTACTAGGGGGGGGGGGGGGGGGGGAGGGGGGGTTTGAATTAGTGCAGCAATAAAAATCAAAGTTCTGAAAATTCTTTGTTTCGTACGATAAAACCGATTTCAGAAGATGTTGACTTGAAAGCGTATTCGTAAATGTATTGAAAGCAGTAAGCAAGTAAGGAGATTTGCAGTAAGATAAATTGCACAAAAAAAAGGCAAACCAGATTTTTATAGTGGTCTGGTTGTCGTGGCCTACATCCACTCGGCCGATTTCTCTTCCGTCGAGGCCACCGGCATCCACTATCGATCTTCCTTTAATATGCGAAGATCAACCTCTTTCTTACACCCCTCTTCTTCTTTTCACAGATTTAGGAGATAATCTTTACAAGCACACACTCCTCTCTAAACAGAATTCTAAGTTTAAGCTAGAGGAGGGGATTTCTCAAGAGATTTCTACAGCGTTTTCTCACTTTTAAACTCTTTGTGCTTGTGTTAGTTAACCAGGGATGAAAGGGGTATTTAAAGGCTTTAAGTTGATTCAAACTCAGAGCCTAAAAAGGTATTATCCCAGGTTTCCTAGGTACTGGCGGTACCACCATTGTTCTTGGATGGTACTACCGTCGTAAGATTTGCCACTGGGCGGTACCACCGCTAACAGCATTACTGCCGACGGTACCACCACCCAGAATACCTGGGGTGCTGTTCCCCAGGTGATGCCACCGTCGGCCAAGGTTTTAGCACCTTGGTTGGGCCTTGAATTCGGCCCAAACCAACTTAACTTCGGGCCTAGTTGGCTCCTAACATAGTTGATGGGATTACCTCCCAATCCCAACTCCAATTATGTGCTAACTACAATTCCTAAGACACAATCTAAGCAAGATAAGTTTGGTTTCTTCTACGAGCTTCCGGTGATCTTTCGGCGAGCTTCCGATAATCTTCCGGCGAACTTCCGACGATCTCTCGGCAATGTTCCAACAGTCTCCCGGCAAGCTCCTGAACTTCACGATGATCTTCTTGGTGAGTTCCGATGAGCTTCTTTGGCAAGCTCCTGGACTTCTTGGTTGGTTCCGGTAGAACTTCCGACGAACTCTCGAACTCCCAACGAAATCATGTTCTTGACTCCGGGACTTCATTTTGCTCTATGTCTTGCTATCATAGTTAATCCTACATATACAAAAACACACTTCGATCTAGACAATTATTACAAAGCATGAATCATGTTGTTCGGCATGTCATTAGTCCATCAACGCTTCGCCTGATTCTTTGGCGCATCGTCCGATCTTGCGGCTTATTGCCCGATCGACCAGTTGATCTCCGCAACTCCGATATCCTTAGCATAATATCCGCTCTTCTTGGCCCGATGCCCGAATCTATGGCTCGAAGCCTTCTGTCAATATGTTGACCAATCCTCCGGCCCGACGTCCAATCTTCTAACATATTTTCCTCTGGCCCAATATGATTATTCTGGTTTTAATTGTCTCTCCCTGATCAAAGCATCCTACGTCACTCAAAATGCGGATCAAATTATAAATACTATCAATTGGTTTTATCATCAAAATCTGAGATTCAACATAGTCTACGACATGGTATCTAGATACAGGAGCCTTAAATCACATGTGTGGCATTAAAGACCAGTAAGAGGTGATTCATCATCAAATCAATGGATACAAGTTATTCCGGGAACATTACATTTGGTGATTTATCTTAAAAACCAGTAAGAGGTGTTAAATCTTGGATTTTGATGATGAAACCAATTGATAGTGTTTATGATTTGATTTATATTTTGAGTGATGTAGGAAGCTTCAATCAAGAAAAGATAATTAAAAGCAGGAAGAATCATGTTGGGCCAAAGTAGAACATGTTAGAAGATTGGATGTCACGCCGAATGATCGATCGATATATCGACAGAAGGCTTCAAGTCATGGGTTCGGACATCGGGCCAAGAAGATCAGAAATTATACTAAGGAAATCAGAGTTACGGAGGTCAACTGATCGATTGGGCAATAGGTCGCAAGATAGGACGATACACCGAAGAATCGGACGAAGCATCGATAAACCAATGACATGTCGGACAACATTTGATTCAAGCTTTATAATAATTGTCTAGATCGAAGTAGATTTTAAGTGTGCAGGATTAACTACGATAGCAATCAAGGCATAAAGCAAAATAAAGTCCCGGAGTAAAAAACGAGACTTCATTGGGAGTTCGAGAGTTCGTCGGAAGTTCGGACGTTCATCGAAAGTTCTACCGGAATTGATCGAGAAGTCCAAGAGCTTGCCAAAGAAGCTCATAAGAACTTGCCAAGAAAATCGTTATGAAGTCCAGGAGCTTTTCGGGAGTCCGTTGGAACATTGCCGAGAGATCGTTGGAAGTTCACTAGAAGCTCGCCGGAAGAAACCTAGACTTACTAGACTTATTTAGCTTAGTGTATGCCTTAAATTTGTAGTTAGTACATAATTGGGTTAGAATTGAGCCAACTCAATTAGGGGCCAATTGGGCCCAAATTTGGGCTGTGTTGGGCCAAGTGAAAGGCCCAAATAGTGACCGAACAAGTGAAACCGTTGTGGCATAATATCTGATACTATGTTAGGCGGTGGTATCGCCCAGACATAGTCTTTAAGAGACTGTCAGGCGGTGGTACCGCCTAGTGTCAGTGCTGCAGGCAATGGTACTACCCAGCACTGACGGTGGTACTGCCAGTATCCTGAAAACCCGGGATGAAACATTTTTAGGCTCCAAGTTTGAATCCACTTAAAGCCCATAAATACCCCTTTCATCCCTGGTTAATATACACAAGAAGAGTAAAAGGGGTTGTAAATGTTCTTGTTAGGATCGAGAGCACTAAGAGGGGGGGGGGTGAATTAGTGCAGCGGAAATCTTACAGTGATTTAAAACCAAAAGCTGCGTTCGTTCAATAAAAACTATTATGATGCAAAAACTAATTCTCAATTTGTATCTAAGTGCAGTTTGCGTCTAAGC